TTTCTTTACGAAGAGAGTGGTCAGACATTGGCACAAGCTGCCCAGGGACATGGTGGAGTCACTATCCCTGGAAGTGTTCAAAAAGCATCTGGATATGGGGCTTCGGGACATGGTTTAGTGGGCATGGTGGTGTTGGGTTAATGGTTGGACTTGATCTTGAAGGTCTTTTCCAACCTTAATGATTCTGTAAATTTTATACAAAAGAGGGTAAGAAACTTAAACCTTTCAAGTTGAGTAAAACTTTAACATCGTTAGGCGAGTCTGAACTAGAGTGCCCATGTGCAGGGTTTTTTTCCTAATTTCTGTCCTATCAAAATGTAAATTTGATTTCCATAGCAAAAATGGTTCTTCTTCAAACAATTTTAACCCTGTGAATTATTTGAACTTTTAACCCTTCTGAGGATGCCAGCTTTTTACAGTCCCCAAAGGTAAAGAAGATTTAAGTGTTAACAGTTCCCTTTTACCAACTGTGTAAAAAAAAAAAAAAAAAATATATATATATATATACAAGGTACTTTTAAGGTACAGGTCCCCAAACCCTACTCCCACCTCTCTTCTTTAGGGGCACCAGTCTTTGGGCTGTAACATACAACCTTAAGTTATATCATGAAATTTGCATAGTAACATTCTGAAAGAGAAAGCAGGGACTCCAGAAGGGTAAGTTACTCCACACAGCTAGCCATCTGAAAAGCTCTATGTACCCACTTCCAGCCCGACAGTGCTGGCTCAATGGTTATAGCTTTGCAATATGTTATCAAATTGTAAAGACTGATAGAGGTCATCAGCGTGGACATTGTCGGTGTCATAGTACTGGTTACCTGCAATGCTATTCTGATGGTTTGGGATCGGGTTGGTGGATAGCCTTGATTCACTTAAAACTTCTTGGTCTATAAAACTGTAAGCGGCTGGATCGGCTAAGTTAGACTGTGAGTTAAAAGGCGTGCTGCCCGGGGCTGCTACAGACGGGCAGGCCGGGGGCACCTGATGGAGCTGCTGCTGCCTGTGACCGCTTGCACTTAAGACTGGATTATACTTCTCGAAGTTTATACTAGTGCAGTTCATGTCATCGGTCTCCATGTTCATGATGCTGGCTGTCGAGACGCTGGTGGGATGAGCCTGGTGCACGATGCTGTTACTAGAAACGCTCTGCATGTCTGCAGTTGACACCGCCACGGCTCCCATCCCGTTTGTGCTGCTGAAATTCTGGTAGAAGCCGGAATCCTTCTCATCTGGCCAGTTCAGAGGGTTGTTGTGGAAAGCTGGGAGAGAGCTGCTGCCCTGAGCAGCAGGCTGAGGCACATCTGCCACGAAGCTGTTCTGCGGGTGCGCATTGAGCAGGCTGCCGGCTGCAGAGGGGGTGCTGTACAGCTGCTGCCAGCACGAGGAGAACGTGTCTTGCTTCCCTGGCCCCACCTGCGCAGGCTGAGGGGGCAGCTGGTTGCAGACAGGGTAGATCTGACCAGTGTTGGCCAGGGTTCCCAGCCCTGGCATCATCAGCGTGGACAAAAACATGTTTGGTTCTATGGAAAGGAAAGACGTGACTGCATTTTAATACCCTTTTTTGTATTTTTTTGAAATTGCAAATGGTAAAAAGCGAAGCAAACACAGTGCTATCGGAGTAAGATTATATGTGCATTTGCACTCTCCAGGGTGGACCCTAGATTCCTGGACAGCAGCAAGACAGCTATCCACCTCGCCCCTCTGCAGCAAATGCTGAAGGTGACAGCTACAGTTAAGTAAGGAACTGATGGGTTTAGTTTGTACAGTGAAAAGTACCAGTATCTTACAGGAAGAAACCCTCAAAAGAATATTAGAATTTCAAGCAAAGAGGAGGGAAGGCCAGGAACTGAGTACACATTTCAAGGGCTGAGTATCTGAACACAAACAAAGAGCAGTAGTTATCTAAATTAAGGCTGAAAGCTAGCGATGCTTAAAGATGGTGTAGCCCTCTCCTGTGCAAAGGGGAAGTTGCAACATGGCTGAGGCTTTGAGAAGAGGAGGAGGAGGGAAAGAAAGAGACGGGTACTACTGCTGCTTTGTGAGCTTCAGTGCCCTCCTGAAAAACACCCTTCCCCACAGCAATCGGGCACTATTTGTTTCAAACCGCTGTCAGGCTGGGACACACGTGCAAAAAACCTACCTTTCTTAATCAGCTTCCCTTCCGGAGCACCAGCGGGGAATGGAGCTGCTTTGGGCCTCTCCGTCGCATTCGATCCTGCGGTGGAAGAAATCCTGAGTCTATACTGAATGTTGGCTTTTGTATAAAATAACTCCAACGAAGTGTAAGTTCGCTCAAACAAGGGAGAGAGACAAATATTTTCCTTACCACAGTCCTGTATGAGCTTTTGCCAAGCCAATGTTGATCTCTGCCTTTTTGCTTTGTTGCCATACGGATCTACAGAGAAAGGGGGTACGAAGAAAAAGTTTAGTAAAGGAACTTTCTAGACCTTATACTAGTGGCCCCTAATTGTAGCTAAATATATTTAAACAGAAGTACTTCCGACATGACAACGCTAACCAAGACAATGTTATTACCAGTGACTCGATATTTTCATTGAAGGAGGGAGCAAACTGACTATTGTTACTTTTAAAAACCAAAAAATCTACCTTGTAGAAGTAGCATTGTAGAATTTTTACTAATTACATTACTGTTCATTATCAACACGGGTTCTGCACTGATAATGGCTTTTCAGAAACTCAACTAAGTGGAACCATACCCTTTTCATCTGGTAGGTATCTGAAGTCCATAGGTTCACTGACTTCCTGGTCTGAAGGTCTTCGCAGCTGCATCTTCACCGTGACGGGCTCGGTGATATCTTTGAGAAACGGTGGCGTTCTGAACACAATTGCAACTTGACGGTGAACGTCAGCTTGTGAGAAGGAACCTTTGGCCTCCCAGTTGTCCAAGACAAATCTGACTTCTATATCATCTAGTCCATTAGAAACAGAAGATGCTCGTTAAGCTGAAAACTTGCAGCAGAAAGAACAGGGAAGGGGAACAAAGAAAGGAATCTGACTCAGAATTCAGATGCAAAGTAAATGGCTTGGCTTTAAAGACACGGACTATCTTTCAGAGGTGCTGAGAGCCCTTGAACCTGAAAGCTGTTCTGCTCAGCTATAAAACCAGACCACTTACACAGGAGTGTGATGAAGGGCTTCAGTTCCCCGGCTAGAAAGCGGTAGTGTCAGCCATTTGGAACAAAGGCGGCGGGCAGGGAAAGAAACCTAGTCAAGATTACCTTTTTGAACTTTGTCGCACAGTAGAAATATTTCATCTCCTCCTTTTACACTTCCACAGTTCTTGTTCACACGGCAGATTCTTAACTCTGCTGTGTTGGGAGCTCCTGGAAACAGAGAGGCAAATTTGATGATAAAGAATTATGGTAACTTTGTCACTATTGAAGATGAGGTGCTTGGAGTTAAGGTGTATGAAGGGAAGGCAACAGCTGGAGGAGTGTAACACACCCCAAAATCCACACTAACCAAGTCGCTCCATACAGGAAAGCCAGAAGCAGGGCTTGATGTTCCACATGACGTACAGCACTCAGCTGCTCATCTCCAAACACAAGATACCAGTTTGCAACTGTGCCACTTACTCCCTAACTATTCTAGAGTAGTCTCAAAATACTTCCCCGAATGACATTATTGCACTTAGCGCTGCTGCCTGTCAAGCTGTAGAATTCAAAGCGGTTCTTCGAGGGACTGATTACCTGTTACAGCCATGCTTCTCTGGAAAAAGCTGGGCTAGCAAGTCAAGAAAATTACTCTCTCTAGGTGTTTGAGAACAGGTCTAGGAGTCTTAACTGTCATGCTTTTACTCAGGGTAGCAGATTTCACCCCAAAATGCTCAAAATTCAACTGCAAGCTATGGCTGTACACGGTACACGTACAGCACTCACAACAGCTGCGGATGGAGAGCTGCCCCGTGCACAACCTCTGGTAGCATTGTATGTCACAATAACTTAATCGCTGCCCAAGTTTGCACACTGCATCCAAACAACCCGACGGCTACGGGGGACTTGTGCAGATGGAGACAAGCACTGCCTGACGGTGTCCGGCCCCGTTCAGCAGCAGCAGTTTTCCTGCAGAGTACATATGGACAGAAGACTACTGCAAGAAATATCAGCCCCGTGAAGCTTTGGGGGGGCTATGTCACAATTTATTTAGAAGGCCACTACTGTCACAATACAGGAACAAAGAACAAACAGGCAAAAACCACCAGACTGGAAGACATCTCTCAGGAATTTCAAGTTCAGCCCCTGTGCCTGTATGCTCTGTTGGTACTTTTAGGTACACGAGCACATACCAATTTTAAGACCCCGTTTTCACTTAACATGCCAAGTAACTGATGCTCATTTTTCTGCTCCGGTCTGTGACCATGTTCATAGTTTACTGCACCCTGTTCCACCCTTCCAGTCCCAAGAGAACAGAACTACACTGTGCCATGATGTTCTCCCATCGTCTTAGGTCAAGACAGCAACTCCAAATGTATTTAAAACACCTGGCAGGATCTGGCTGGTGCCCCTTCGTGACCCAGAAACCGATCCTCTTCCCACCACGGCCTCCCTGCTCCAGGTACAGAGATGAAATACAAAACCAAAGCTCATGGTGTCACACACCCCTCTACACTCCCCCCAAAAAAATCCAGTTTAGACTCTCAGTTTGAGTCAATTCCTGCCCAATCTTTCATGGCCGCGGCACAATACAGACTATGCTTAAAACAGAGCTCCTGGTCACCTCAGGCCAGACCCCAATTCTGTAGTTACTATCTGCAGGTATTACTATTATTAGGAGAAGTGGGTGCTACAGCCTCATTTACTACATGACACATGCCACTTCATTTGCTGAATGAATCGGAAACTTTGAAGGGAGGGGAAACAAAACAAACCCAAAACCAGCACAGGATCATATGATTGACAGTGTCATCATGTGTTTTTCACAGGAAGGGTAAATTAAGAATTGCAAGGAGAAACCTAATTTTACCTTTGTTTCACTTCTGTCCGTTTGAATGGCGCTCGGTGTCCTTTTAACAGGTTTTTGGGAAGGTCTCTTAGGCTGGAGTTTGTTGTTTTGTCTTTTATTTTAAGGGGCGTTTAGAAGGGAGGATAAAGGGAAGAAACGCAAATGCCAGCAGACATGGATGCGCTACTCCCTGCTGTCAGCCCCGGTGCCGGGCTCGAACACCGAGTTTGGCAGCCGCCTCAGAGGGAGACGTTCTCTGCAGCCTCTGTCACGCTGTGCTGCTTCCCATCCCTCCTCGCCCTCGCCTCCTGCCCAATCCCTATTCTTCGCTCCCCAAAAGCACATCCCTGGTACAAGTCCCCTAGAAAAACAAGCTTCTCACCAAACAGCCCGTCACTGTCAACAAGGGCAGAGCACCATCTTCTCCCTAACCTTGTTTCTCCGAAACGGCAAGCTGCTTTATTTGGCTCTTCCCAAGAGTTTTCAGCGCGGTAAGACACGCGACTTGGGAAATTTCTGTTCAACACCAGTTAACGGTACAAGCAACTGACAACAGAAGCTGCCTGTAACGCTGAATTTTGTAAACTTGCAGTCTCTGTTAATGTGATTGCCTCTGTATTATGATCATCTTATTCTTACGTATCTCTACTATCCAAAGCAGGTGGAGACTACAAAGTATATTAGAAAGTGAAGAAAGTACTAGATTTAAAATGTGCAAGCCCATTTTCAGAAAAGCTCTGAATACTTTTTTGCTCGTCCTCTGGACAGATCTGCGAAAGCTTGCAATCTAACAATCTAGGATTTCCAAGCCTGCTGTACCGTACAATTTTATCTTTTATCTAGGGTTAAACCTGACCTTACCCAGTTCCGTATGACGGTGCAGGTTTAAAAAGGCTAACATTTTAAAAAGAACTTCAGATCTGAAACTGCTGTTCCGGACAAGAGCAGCATAATTTTTATGATTTGTGGTTGCAGCCATGCACTGTTTTATTTACACCGCAGCTACGTTACACAGAGGATTTTAGATACCTATAGTATATCAGAAGGCTGCCCACACACACCCACGCTAAAAAACCAAGCTTCCCCCACCACACAGCTATCTGTCATTTCAACAGCTTAGCAAAGACTGACGTCAATCAACGTAGACGAGTAATCATGATTTGGCACATTTCTAAATGGCATCTGACACATAGCTGCGAACCTTATACATCAATTTTATCGCAACCCTAATTACTCTAGTACTACATCGGTTTTCAGTAGCACAATGCGCACAAGTTCCAACTTCTAGATAATTCTAGAAGAGACTGTAAACAAAACCATCTGAGTACATACTCAATGTCTTCATAGTGGTTATGCCCACATCAACACAATTCTAACATCAACTTTATAAACACAGGCCTCGTTTTATTCACTAGCTTCTGCTGAAGTATTGACCTTAGATATTTAGCATGGAAATACTTTCACTGCAGAAACAAAAAAGGTTCCAATTATTAAAAGCTCTTCCGCTATTCTTCTCCAAGAGAAGTCCAGCACACGTTGAGGGCTAAAATCCACAACTGAAGGGACCTGCCAAGGCCGTACAGAAGTCTACTTTTGCGGAATGTGGAAAACGGTGCCAAGAGGGGTGTTTTCACATACTTCTGCACCCTCCTCAAGCATGATCAAACATCCCTGCCTTGCACAGAAGTGACCCAGAGGACTGGCACAGACCTCAGAAACTGGCCTGGCATTTTTCATCTCAAGCCAAAAGAGAAAAACAACAAGAAAAAAAAAGAAATACACATATGACTGAGTTGGTACTTACTGTTGTCATAGATCGGGTTGGAAATCAAAGGAGGAAGAGCTAACGTGTAGTTGCCATGTTCATCGGGGAGAAAAGCTTGGAAGCAGAGGCGGACGACATTGAGATCATACTCATCGATATTGTGCAGCTGTTCTTCAGGCACTGAACAGCAGAAGGAAAGACAAGGCCACAGATTAGTCACCAAAACCAGCAGTAATTCGTTAACAAACTGGGGATGAACCTCCACCAGTAAAAGAGACGGTGTTGCCAAGGCAGACAAAATGTGCCCACGGTCCCCAGTGGCTTTCCAGGAGCTGCTTGAATAAATTCCTTGCACACAGTAAGGGATACAGAAGCCTTTAATCAAACCTTTTAAAAATCAAAATCAAATCAAAACTTCCCTTCATCAAACAAGGCTACACTGTCTGAGTTCTCCGGCTGTTTCTTGCATCTGGTTTCCTCACCTTGCCATCCACATCAGTTTCGTATAGTTCAAGAGTCATTCCCTGGACATGTGTCTCTCTCATTTGTGCATGATAAAATTTACAAAATGAATGTTGCCGCCAAAGAGAAATCTTTCAGTACAAGTTAAGTCCTAGGACGTAGCTGAAGATTTCTACCAACAGTGAGAGGCTTCTGCTACGTGGCGTCATTCTTTTCCTCTAGAAACTGAGACAGAAAAATAATCGAAGGCAGTTCTTGGGGCAAGAATGAGGCCAAAACACCACAAACCATCTCCCCCTCAACATCTGTGTCACTTCAGTACCTTTAAGAATAGTGATTAGTGGTGTCAGTAATGATTTAATTTCATAATACAACAAGCAAGCCCTTGCTGGAAAGGATCCGTTTCCTTACACATTCCTCCCAGTCTAAAACACAAACGCATAGCCCCAAGCTCAGTGTTTCAGTTTTGTTCACTCTTTCACTTATTTTGATTTCAAGACATTAGGACCTGGGCTATCGTTACTGAACATTTCACACACTCCTAGCTTAATGGGCCATTGTGAGAAAAGCAGCCCTCTCCGAATTCCACGCTTTCCTTTAAGGCCTGACATTAACTATTACGTTGACATTCGAAGCCAGCAAAACGAGAAACTGATTTAATATCATTTAAGTAGAAGTACCGATAGTTAAAATCATTTAAAGTGGCTCTCTTCTCCAAAATCGTTCGAAGCAGTAGCTCAGCATCGTGAGATACTCCTCGCAATTACCTAAAATGAACATGTGCCAAGGCAACAGATCACAACCTGTCAAGTTCACTCCTTCCCCTGCCCTTTCAAAGGCCTCTTGCAAGAATAAAAGATTAAATGTGCCTGCGATAAGAAGTCTGGGGATCCCACTGTACTGATTAGATTGCAGTGCTCTGACCTTTAACATTTATCACTGGGTTGGTCTCCACCCTGCCATGAGTGGGATTCCACAATGCCCACTTGAATGACTTCTTCCTTTCACCTTTTGATAGCGTGAAATAATAAATGCACTGAGCTCAGAATACTTTCCACTGGCATTTTTAGTCTTTCTTGTGCTCTGAATATCTCAGTTTCTCCTGGTCTCTACTGTAAAAAGAAACCACGTCACTCTTCCCTTTTAAAAGTCCATGATCTGCAATATCTCAAGACAAATACATCTGTGAGTACAAAACTAAGCAGCAACTACGTACGTAACGTTGGTGCCCAGGGGAGTTCTGCCAGCGTGCACTTTGCAGGTTGGTGGCTGACTGTTATTACCAGATACGGAGAACCAAGTGTTATAATTTAAGGTACTGCATTAGCCAGCCTGCTAACTTAATAAAATAGGATCTTTAGGAAAACGGGTTTGGAACATACCGCTGTTCAGCCTAACTCAGCTTTGGCAGACTCCACAGCCCAACTGCCTCTTGCTAAAGTCTAACTTAGAGAATCAAAAAAAGAAACACGCATTTGCTAGATTGCACCTTGCAGAAGGGATCATCCGGAGTGCAATGCCACCTTGCTGCCAGCAGCTCAGGCGATTCTTCTAATCCATGCTCTGACCTGACGGCCAGCAGGCAATTAGCTCCCAAGGACACTCTGGCATCAAGGCTTACGCTCGTGTGTTGTATTAGCCATTGGTGACCACGTGGATCCGGCCAGAGAGCCCAAGCGGTAGTCAAATTTCAAACCTCTTAAAAATTGAATCGAGCACAGAGATTCAATACCTTTGTCTAAGTCAACTCATTGCAGACAGAAGCCAAGCACAAAAATCTGGATCTGGCTTTTGATTCTGAATCGAAAGCGAGGACTTTGTGGTTGTGCAATCAAGTCTCTCTCTCACAGGTTAAAAAGCAGCACCAGTCCTGCACCGCGTCTGCCACGGGCGCAGCAGCCTCTTCCTCAGAAACAACTAATAGCAGGCTTAAGACAACTCTGTAAGTGCAAAAATACACTAGATACGGAGAAAATGATGAATGCTAGTGTTCAAATGACATCATTTCCTATACCATGAACTTTCACAAATCCCCCAAAAAATCTATTTAACCACCTGATATAGGGAAGGTGTGGTGTGCCAATAATTGCAAGAAACAGAATTGCTGTATATAGCGCGTGGTACTGCAGCAAAAAACACTGCTCCTAATTTGCATGTTCTTATAAATCATTTAATACAATTTTTAAAAATCTGTAGTTTGAAAGAGGAAGTGCTCAGTCAGGACTGATTCCTCCTGGGTTATTTTTAACCAGATGAGAAGAACGTAACAGAGCAAAAAAGGAGAACAAGGCAGCTGCAACTCCATCTTGTGATGACATGCTTACAAAATATACAGAGGCTAGATTCGAATAAAGAAGCGCACAGCTTTCATCAATTTCAGAACGTACCTCATTCCCACCTAAAAGACAATCATCCAAACAAAATAAGATGTTGTTATTTCTAACAAACTTCTAATTCTGCTCCCTGTGAAGTCAATTTGAGAGTAGCCACTAAGTTGAACAGATGCTGCCTTACACCTTAAGAATATTAAAAACAAACAAAAACGAGGCAGACAAACACACTGACTAATGCCTGGAGTATGGCTGAACAGAGGATGGTCGTGTCATTCAGTGTTATTTCACCAACTTCTCTACAGAAGGACAACAGACGGGGTTAAACCTGACAAACCTGAAGTTATTAAAGTTAAAAAACGCTGTTGGAGATTTCGGGAACAGAAAGGACGGGAGAAGAAGAGCAGCCATTCAACCAGCCTGTGCAAGCTCCACACAAGCAGCTCTACTGAAACCAGCAACATTACACACGTGAAGTAAAAAACGTCACACGATGCAGCGTGTTGGGAGCAGATACGGTAAAAAAAGGCTCAAACACAACACATCAATAAAAGGAAGAAGTAGTCTGTTTTTGGCAAGAGTTCAACTTCCTCTTCTGACTGCTTCTCGCTGTGTGGTACCACACCTTGCTGTCTTCATTTGAATCCAACCGAAAGAGCTGGAATGCAACCAACAATCTAGGTATGTTCCTGTGATGGCCCAGTCTAATAAAAAACTGGCCTTAACCTGGCAGAAATTCATTTTCCGCAGTTATCTATGCAAACACGAGCGTATGAAGGAACGTTTGTAAGTACAGCTCTTTCACAAGGGGAAGGAGAGCTTTCAAAAGTAACGCTTAGCAACTCATACACATAAAAATGACAGTATTTAGGAAGAATTAAAATTCTAAGGTAATTATGGGACAAGCTGCCAAAAAAAAAAAAAAAATCCATCAAAACACCACCAGCGTTGATGGAAAAAGAAAACTAACTCTACTCACCGCAGATTCTGGCAATAGGATTTAAAAAAATTGTAACCTAGAGTTACAATCAAACCTGGGGAGTATTAGCTGTTCAACCTGAAAGGGGCTACAATACCTAGTAAATCCTTTCCTCATAAATCCGTTTACAACTCTTCTGAAAGAAATGCTGATTCCCCAAGTTAAAAATTACTATCTTTGAAATAATTCTCCACTCCATTATCCACTATCATGGGAAGAGACTGACACAGTCCCAATGTGGGCACAAAATCACCCCACGCAAGTTAACTGTGAACTCCTTCCAGCCTGAGCTGGCTAATCCGAGCAGCTCACGTGACATGGGCACCAGATTTCCGTCACTGAAATCCAGATGTTCCCTGCTGGGTTTCTACTGAGTGAGAGAACTTCTTGGATTTGCTTCTGTAGCACAAAATCAGAGACTTTCTGCGTCCAACCCACCAATATCCAATTCCAAGCTGGGGCACAAAATTAAAGATACCGGTAATACCAGGCCTCCTGTTTGTTCCATTTTATCAATTTCTAATGTTTCTTACTGTTTTAAACAGTCTTCAACATCTGGAAAGGCCAATAAAATACCATTTATCTGATGAAATTACCTGGGGATTAAGGGCCCTGATGTTTACTCATAAGGTGATGCTACAGGGAAAGTGAAAGTTTATTTTGAACACTGAAGAGAAATCATGAAGTGTTTGGTTTTTTGACTGATAATGCGATACCTGATTAAATAGCAGATTCCTGACATACAGCCCTCCACCCAACTTCTAGACTAATGATGTCAGAAACTTCTGGAGTGGGTGGAGTTGGAGGTACTTTAGCATCTAAACTTAACCTGCATGGAAACTTCCAGGGCAAGTGATGCGGTGTGACACATTCAGAGAGGGCTATGCTGAGAATACCAGTTCACCCTGCAAAGGGACATCTTGTGACCTTTCCTTCTCAACGAGGGGCTGCGGGGGCCTAGGGACCACGCTCCATCTCAAACAAAGAGAACGACCTCCTGCAAACGCTTCACCAAGGAGACCGCTCGGGAACACACATCATTAATAATCACCGTGAGCTGTATTCTGCTTTTTCTCTTACGCAGACGATGGTTTTTAATTTAAGGATATGCTGGGAGCCCAGTTTCATTTAAATGATGACACAGAGGTGGTTTGCCTCAAGTGTTTTGCTCCTGGAGCACAAAGATGCCCCCTTAACCCTGATACCAACCCATCAGTTTAACTGGGTCTCCACCAGAGGTTTTGCTGTAAAAGGCTGGCTCTGCCCAACCTTCATTTCCAGCACTACTCTTACGCTGGGACTAGGTCTTCTGTGGTGAATCAGATCAAGAAACTGGTCCAGCTCAAAACGAACTTGCCAGAAAAAAAAAAAAAAAAAAAAAGAGGAAAAGGTTTGTTTTCAGTCAGTCC